CACACACACACACACACACACACACACACACACACACACACACACACACACACATCTACCCCTATCTACGTATCTACCTATCTATCTACCTATCTATCTGCCAATTATCTATCAATATCTATCAATCATGGAAACACAATAATGACCATAACAGACTCAAAAACAAGATAGGGACTCCAAAAATTGAAAAAACAAACGTGTGTGTGTGTGTGTGTGCATTGTTGTGACTGCACCTCCTGATGAGCTGGTGAGAGTCCAATGAAACACTCTGGGGCTCGTTAGACACTCCCCGGGCAAGTAAATCCCCCGAGGAAATAATCGTTAGACCTATCCTCGGGGACGATTCCCTAATATGCAATGTGAAAACATTTCCTCGGACTGTCCTCGAGGCGTCCTCGGGCTACACGCAATCGTCGACGATCCCCAAGGTTACTCACGAGGTCCCTTGGAGGCCGAGCATCAGCGACAATCGGGACGGCGGTGACATCCTTCCACGACAACAATTTTTTGGAGGGTGGTCCAATGCAGTACCTGCCGGTCAATCCACAGACATGTCTGGTTGCCAACATTCGCCTTCGATGGAATTGACGACAACGGTAACCGTTGGGGACGACCGGCCCCTGCGAACGCCCAAAGGCATTCGCAGTCCCTCGCGCTAGAGGGCGGCAAACGGAAAAGGGTCCAACAGTCGTCAAATTCGAACATTTTAGGTGGCAAGCGTTCCAGCCACCCATCGCAATGTGCAATGTAACTCGGTAGAGGGCGTTTTCTTGTCGGATGCTGTCGCTTGCTGTTTGTTGCCGTCTGCTTCGCCGTTTGCTGGAGGCGCGTTGTCGTCAACTGTTTCCTGCCTGTACGCACGTGTAGTTCATGGCCGACGTCTTCCGAAGGTTGCCGCTGCTTGTCCTGGTCGCCATTTTGCTTCTCCTTGTCGCCGTCTTCCACGTGTGCATCCTGTATCGGGTGCCTGGTCGCACACGCAAGCGACGATCGGCGAAGAAGCAAATCACCATGGACGGACGGCAGGCGAACCACAGAACGTCGTTGGAACAACACGCTAACCACCGGCCCAGCCACGACAGTACTCGCGGTACAAGGCCGCATGACCCGTCAGCCTACGCGCACCTCCGACCACACTTGCAACCTCTACCCGACTCGTTAGACGGGGAGGGGACGGAGGTGGGTCACGTACAGTCCCGTTGGGTAGCGGGTCCACCCAGGAGTGGGCAGACAACCAGTCGTATGGTTGGCGTGCTAGCATGTACAGGCTGCAGTCGTACACCGAACTCCTGGACGAAGGCCTCCACGGAGACGACGTTGATGGTGCCGTGAATTTGTCATTCGGGCTAGGTAGCGGGAGCTCTACGGCCGCCACACGGACAATCCTCGTCAACCATCACCCTGACGACGACGCAGGGCAGGTGACATTGGTCGGTCGATCTGCAAACGGTGCGTCATCGGATGGGAGGGATCGGATAACAGGAGGGAACGGCCAAGAGTGCAATCGTCGACGACATCAGTGTCACGCACTGGCGTCGACCGTCTGCAGTGGATGTGGTCCCCGTCTCCATTGTCGGGAGGTTGCGTTGGGGGGCGACATGCGTCTAAGTGCGGGCCGGCGGACGAGGACTTCGCATGCGGGGGTGCCGAAGCAGATGGGAGGCGAGTGTGGAAGGAACAAAACAGGAGATGTGTCGATGGCAAGAGGAGTCGATAACCGAGGGGGTGCAGCGTTTGCGCGTGGGGGAGCGGGACGTGGAGGCAGACGGGGCAGTCGGGGGAGGCGACGACTACAACAACGGTGACGAAGGCGAGTGCGAAGCACAAGACGATGAGTCGGGGGACGTGTTTCCATTGAGGAAGGCAAGCATGGGGGGTCGGACCGGTAACAGCCAGGAGTGGATAGAAGGCGGTGGGTGGTGGTGGCGAGGCCGAAGGCGACGGGGAGGGGGAGGGGGGGCGGAACTTCTGATCGGTGGAGCACATGGTCGCCCTCATCAGGGCGAAGCGAGACCAGGATGCGCAACTGCAGATGGCGGGCCACTCGTTCGCTCGGATGAAGGGGAGGGAATGGAAGTGGGCGGACGTTCGTGAGAGGTTGTTGAAAGTCGGCGTGGACAGGCCGACAGACGAATGCGGTAAGAAGTGGGATAATTTGAAGTAGCAGTTCAAGAAGGTGCATTGCTTCCAGGGCGAGTCTGGGAAGGAGGACTTCTTCCAGCTATCGGCGAAGGAGAGGCTGGCGAGGGGGTTCAATTTCAACATGGATCGGGCCGTCTACGAAGAGATTAAGGGATCGACCGCAAGGAGTCATACAATACACCCGCAGAATGTTGCATACATCGGCCAAGAAGGAGGTGTGCAACTTCCATCAGGGTCTCCTGGCGGTCCTGAATCTGTCGACGATGGGGATGCCGGTGGTAATGGCAACGACGAAGACGACAACTCGACGAGGGGTTGTTCGCAGACCACGGGAAGCCCTGGTGGTGCACAGAAAAGGAAGAACATGAGGCAGCAGACTTTCGAAGCCCTCACCGAGTGTATGGAGAAGCACGGGACGCTGATGGCGTCAACCATGGAGAGCGCTAGTTGCTCCATCCAAATTCGACAGTGCGAAGCTATGGAAGCGGAGCTCGAGGTGCAGAAGAAACACTACGTGGCATCGGATGAAGTGAGCAAGATGATGTGCCACGCGCTGATGGAGATAACGAAGGCCATATGCGATCGGTAGACGCCGTGGTCAGGAAGAGACTGCCCAGGCGAAGGCGTCGACGTTTGTCCCGTGTTCCGGGCGGCATGCCAGGAATGTTGAGTGCCCCCTCCGTAGTTCGTCGTCTATGCTAGCTTTGTGCCCGGTTACATGTCGAAAACGACCGGCATTCGCCCTGTGCCACACATCTACATAGTTGGGTGGGCGCTTTGGATGGGTTGTGTGTTCCTTTCGTTCAAAGCATCGTCGAAGGCAAATGATGGCGTTGTTTGTTTTAGTAATAATTTTTGTTTTTAGTAAATTTATCGACTTTTGTGGTGTTCCGTCATCATGCGATGACGGTGAGACGATCTCACATCCTGTATCAGCAGGCTTCGCAGTTCATGGCTGAGTGTTGTTTTTTCCAATCGCTTAACATTCAGTTTGAGACTACAATTTTAATGACGTCTTATGACTTGTTCTTGCTCATCTCTCTCTCTCTCTCTCTCTCTTTCTCTCTCTCTCTCTCTCTCTCTCTCTCTCTCTCTCTCTCTCTCTCTCTCTCTCTCTCTCCCCCCACCCTCTCTCTCTCT